TTGGAGTGTATCTTGAGATCATAGCAGGAGGAGCAATGAGGATAACACACACCCTGCAGACTCTCATGGGCTGAATCTTCATTTCAAATTTAGTTTACATCTGTACTACCCACACGCCTGCACCATCCATATGCCTGTGGTGAATGTTACTAGCTATTGTGTGGTTGCAGTGGGACAGGTCCAAATTTCAGGCCTTGAAATGTGCTGAAAATGTAAAAGGCCATGTTTTGAAGTCTTAGGACTTACAATTTAAAGTATCTCACTAATTTTATATTGATAACCCATATTATACATATACTGAGTTCAATCAAATGTATTGTGAAAATTAATTTCACCTGTTCCTTTTTACTCTTTTTAATGCAACTCCCAGAAAATTTAAAGCTACATATGTGACTCACATAATGTGTATATATGCTGCTCTATACACTGAAATACATCTATAACTTTCAGTCAATTAGTATATGGCCCATCCCACACCTAGACAATCTACAAAATGAGAAGATGCCTTTGAGACCAAATAGACACTATACAGCTTAAGAATACACTTGTAAAAGCCCCCAGCACAAAGACAAACTATTCATTTAGCAATTTTCTGAAATAAGTAATCAACTAATTAACCAAGTAATGTATGTGCTAAACACCATGTTGTGACTAGGATTAGAGCTGTGGACACATCAGACAGACCTACCTCCATCGAAGTCAAGGTCAACAGCATGGCCTCTGGAGCCGGACCATGTGGGTCCACGTCATGGCTCCACCCATCCCCAGCCACGTGCTCTGGGAGGGAAACTGAAGCTGCTGCGGGAACACAGAAGTTGAGCTGAAGGTTCAAGAGAGGATTATTTGAGGAAGTGATATTTAATCCACGAGGCAAAGGATAAGTTAGGGATCATTAGGCAAAAGTGAAGAAGAGATCACTCGGGCAGTTGGAACAGCCAGTAGGGAAAGCCAAGGCAGAAGATGAGTATGGAATATCTGGGGCCCTTGAAAGGGTTTTGAATGAAGCAATCACAGAGGTGGACACTGTGGGACCAGATGCCTGAAAGGCGCTGCAAACCAAGAAGGAGTTGAGACTGTCTCCTAAGGAAACGGAAAGCTGTGGGAGTCAAACGATCACATGTGAAAAGATCACTCTGCACGGTGTAGAGGATGGATTGGAGGGAAGCAAGAGTGGACACAGTAAAGTCATTTGGGGGGATTTCACGATGGTCCAGGTGAGAGCTGCTGATGGCCTGGACCAGAATGGCAGCAGTGAGAAGAGATTATAGATATGTAGCACAAGGATATGGCAATCAGTCAGACGTGGAGATGGGGGCGCGGGCTGGTGAGGAAGAGGTCATGTATGAGTCCAGACTTGACATTTAAGGAACCGGACGAGGTTCACTACCAAAGAGAATATTGTGAGAGGAATCTACTTGGAGGGAAAGGATGACTTCAGTCTTGGAAAGATATTCTTAGATATCTGTGGCTATCTAAGAATGCATGAGCTCGTCTTCCAGACACAGTTTTGAGGCTGAAAGGGAGTCTAGGACAGACCTGAAGCACTGTAATCTTCAAGAGTTGAGCAGAAGACCTTCTGTGAGGAAAAGAGAATGAGAAGAAATAGCCAGAGCAATTTGAGAAAAACAAAAACCAATGGGAAAAGGGCATTTTTAGCAGGAGCAATTGGTCAGCTGTGTGGAATCATTCTGAAAGGTCAAGCACTGGCAAATGTCCAAAATAAACAGCGACCTGGGGTTATTTACAACCTTGGCAAATCACTTGGTGGAGGGCAAACAGGGAAGCTTGGTTGGATACAGTTGAGGGGAAAATGCAAAGCAACAAGAGAGAGGCAGCAGGTGAAGACAGACAATGTGCCTGAGAAATTTGCCTGTGAGGACATGGAAGGAAATAGGGCTTTAACTGCATGGAAAAACAGACTAAATGGAAAGTCTTGTTTGTTGTTGTTGTTGTTTTTAATAGAAAGAGCCTGTGCACCATTCAATGGTGGTGGAAATTAGCTGCAGATACGGAGGGTGCAGTACAGACCGGGGAGGAGTGAGACAGCAAGGTTCTCAAACAGGTGGTCGTGTCAGTGATCCAAAGCTGGGTTTAGGAGGAGGGCTGTTCCACGTTGCTTATTTGTTTGTTTATTTTTGGCTGCACCGGGTCGCCATCGCTGTGCCGGTTTTCTCCACTTGCTCCTCTCTAGTTGTGGTGCTCACTGTGGGGGTTTCTCTCATTGCAGAGAACAGGGTCTAGGGCTGGTGGGCTTCAGTAGTTTGGGGGCACAGTTGTTGCGGGACACAGGCTTGGTTGCCTCGAGGCATGTGGTGTCTTCCTGGACCAGGGATCGAACCTGTGTCTCCTGCTTTGACAGGCAGGTTCTTTATTACTAAGCCTGCAGGGAAGTCCAGGCTGTTACAAATTAATGAGGAAACATCAGGAACTTTTTCCAGTAGATCTGAAGACATGATAGTGAAATACTGGGTTCTGATAAAATGGCTTCTGTTGCCTTTTAACAGATGTTAACAGACGTTGAGTAACCAAGCATTCCAAATCCTTGCTATTCAAAGCGTGGCCCTTGGAGCGGCATCAGCATTACCTGTGAGCTAGTTAGAAAGGCATAATCTTGGGTCTCACTTCAGACATCCCTTAACCAGAATCAGTGTTTCAAAATGTTCTCAGAAGTCCTGTGTCAACTAAAATTTGAGAAACAGCGTTCTAAATGACTTCCTATTAAAACTAAGAGTTGAGAACTGACTAAAGGATCAGAGCTGTAATCTACAGCAGACACATATACTTTAGGGACCATGCATTTTTGTCCAATGGTTCTTTCAGCTATAAAAGCTTTTTTAAAAAACACATTTGTTTTAGCTACAGAATCCCTATGAATTTCTATAAGAGACAAATAGGATAAATAAAAAGCAAAATATCACAGTACTTTCCAGCTTTGCATTTTACTGTGTTGTCAGTATTACTTTTTAAGGTAACCATTTATTTATTTATGGCAGTGGATTTTTTTTTGACCATGTTGTGAGGGAGGTGAGATCTTAGGTTCCTGATCAGGGATTGAACCCGCACCAGCTGCAGGGGAAGTGCAGAGTCTTAACCACTGGACGACCACGTAAGTCCAGTGTTTTTGTTTTTTATAAATTCTAGTTTATTGAGTATCTACTATATGCAGCTTCTTGGTTCTAGGATGGCAGTAATTAACAAGAAAAATTCCCTGCCCTTAGGATTTGATATCCATCCTTACTCAGCTCAGTTTTGTGGCCTATTATAATACTTCTTGGCATACACCCCCCACTCTCTTGCTTCCTAACTTCATTGTACTCATTCAGGCCTGTTATTATAATACTTCTTGGCATACACCCTCCACTCTCTTGTCCCCTAACCTCATTGTACTCATTCAGTGTTTAATTATTCATTCATTTATTTGCCTAGTCAATTAATAAACAATGACTCATCATCCATTATGTGCCAAGCATTGCTTCAGGCACTTGGGACTCATCAGATAAAGCTCCTTGCTCTCCTGAAGCTTACATTTGAGATGGCTTGTGGTATAGGGTCCAGAGGCGGGGTTGGTGAAGGAGAGATGGGAACCAGCAATGGAAACAAATAGACTGCCCACCTTGCAATACCCCTTCTCCAGTTAAGTCCTGCTTACTGGTTTCTCTGCAGTTGAAATTGGTTTAAGAAAAGCGTACACGCAGACTGACAGGTCTCAGACCCACAGTCACCACGACTGACCTCGATGGTGCCTTCCACCCTGCCGGGCAATCCCAACCCATGTTCCATCACCAGCACCATCTACTCTATCCCAGTCTTTGCTGATAACTCACCTAATATTTTCTCTCTCTTTCTAAACCTCTAAAGTCTACAAAGGTTAAAGTCCCCAAATGCTCTGGCATTCTTTCCCATGCGAATCTCATCATGAACATCTTTTTGTCATAATAGACTTTAATACATAGGCTCCCATTGCTTTAAAAATAAAGATTAAATGTCCTAATATACACTAGGACTCCTTTTGCAACCGCATACAGGCTCCTTTTTCACCCACATTCTATGCCTTTCATTTCTAGCATACAAACCACAGCAGAAGTTGAATCCTGGCACATGTAGTGACACTGTAAATGTTTTTAAATCAAAGTGTCTTAGATTTCCCATTTCTGCCATTGATTTCTTCCACTTGGGTTCATACCTCTACCTAAAGTAATAGTCTATTGAAAGTATTATCTCAGTGTTGTTCCAGTAGAACTGAAATGAGCAGTATCGAACCCTCGAAAACAGTGCTGGCTCCAACACCTACCTCTTAGAGGCTCTTGCCATTATATCATCATTATCATAAACACTGATATAAGGCTCATTTTTTATCACAGCAGGAATAGAGTTTAGTACTTTGGTCTTTTGTTGGAAGTTCTACCCACTGGGTTTAACTTTTGATATCTTAAAACCACAAAATTTTCAGTTGAGGCCCCTTGCTGCCCAACAGCCCCCAGGACACTTGCACCCAGGATTCCCACTTCTCCTGAGCTCTCTCTTGATTCTTTTCTGCAGGTGGTCCCAGAACACCCAGCATCCTTCCAGCCCCTTCCTTCCGGATACAGAAGAATTTCTCAGCGAGCCACGGCAGCAAAGCAATGCTGAACGCGCGTTCTGACTAATCAAGAATAATTAGAACATTTATTTTCCATGATCTGTTTTTCTATTATTGCAGCCTACTATCAGGGTAACTTTTTTAGCAGCCATTTCACACTCCCGGAGCCTATTTAAAGCTTGCGGTCAGTTATAACCCTCTATGTTTCTCCCCCCACGGGAAGCATTGCCAAAGTATTTCCCCAAGTTCTGTGTGTGCTGGGGTGCCTGTTCATCTCAGGCCTCCCTGGGGACCACCGGAGATTCGGGGCTGGTCGTGAACCTCTGCGGTAGTGATTTTATCGACAAGGGTCTCCCCTCGGTCAGGTCCTCCAGTCCTGAAGCTCTGAGCCAGAAAACATTTTCTTGAAATCTAAGGAATATGACAGATGAGGAGGAAGTATAGTCATAGAAAGGCATGCTAGGGATGACTTATAAAAGCAAAGTGACTGATAATTTCTAACAATCATTTTAAGCCTCTAATGCCTAATGTAGGTTTTTCTTTTTCTGTGTTAGAGAGGAAGGAGGGGAAAATAAACCTCTGAGGTTTTGTTCATCTTCATTTTTATCAGGAACATCAGGAGCACTTAGTATATGATAAGTTTAGATAAAATATAATCCGTTGTGTCGAAATCAGTACCAACAAATCAGACAGCTCTGAATTCCCAGAAAGTTTAGAGCCTATTGACAAAATGTCTCCTGCAAAAAAAAGAGCTTTTAATTTAACTTTAAATCAAGTTTTTGTTCCAAATGTGCACCTGTGGCAATACTGACATGTGTTTTATGCTAGAAATCATTTTGGAAGTGGAACAGTAAAATGGAAAACCCCCCTAAAGCTGGACTTCGCTTAAAATGGCAAGAGGCAGAGGCCGGCTGTTTCTATTCCCGGAGCTGCCGGGCGGACACACGCGGTGGCTGGAATGTGCTGGGGCCGGGCAGGCGCAGCTGCCGCCCCTTGGCGAGAAGGCCCTCTGGGATCCCAGCTCGGCCTGGCAGGAGGCTGATGGGGACACTTGGGCACATAAGGCTGCCCAGGCCGTACCAGGCAGAGGCCTCCCAGGGGGCAAGGCGGAGGGTGGAAGGAAAGAACGCGTTCTTACTTCTGAAGTGAGGGCTCCAGTCTGCAATCGCTTCTAGGAGTTTCCATCTGAAATCTGTTTCAGGCCATGAGGGACAAGTGTGATCCGGCCACACGGACTTGCCCCTAGTAAAAGAGGGTAGGTAGAATTACGTTAGCATTTCTTGGCAGCCTCATTTCGGTCCAGTGGTTCCGGATCTATTGGATTGGCCAAAAAGATGTTATGGAAAAACCCGAATGAACTTTTTGGCCAACCCAATATTTGGGGTTATGGGCTTTTTTTTCCAAACCCATGAAAGCTCTGGGCCCACTTAGAGAAAAATACACATAAACACAGCTGCAGAATATGTTTTCATAATAGTCTAGAATTTTTCATGCAATTCCTGGACTCCTGAAAACCCAGAAAAGGGTTGCCCGATACAATTCAGGACAGCCAGGTACCTTGAATTTAGTTTTTAGTATAAGTTTTTAGTTTTTAGTATAAGTTTGTCCCAAATGTGGCCTGGGAGATACTTAAATTCTAAAAGATGATTAGTGGTTTTTCTGAATTTCAAATTTCTCTAGAAATCTTCTATTTTTATTTGCTAAAGATGGCATCTCAGACCCAAATGCATGATCCCAGGATGAAGAATCCCCCATCTCTGTTGGTTTATCCATAGTTAATCATGAGTTGATACTACAGGTCTAAAAGGCCATACTGAAGGGGGATCAGGGAGAAGAAGTGATACAGACCAGACTTTGACAATTCTAACAGCAAAAGCCAGCTGTTTATTATTAACTCTCTATAAAATTTTAGAACTGAAGGGTATATACCTCCTCATTTGACAGATGATTAAACTGAAATCCTAAAAAATTGAGTATTTTGCCACAGGTCATTCAGATGGTTATAGCAACATTAACACCAAAGCCCAATTCTTGGTTCTGTGATGACCAGATCATTAGTCTTACAAACCAGATTTCCAGCCTCACTTCTCACAACCTTAACATACACACAGCAAAGACTAGAAACAAGAAAGAGCTATTTTACTAAAAGTTTCAACAAAATCAAGACCAAAAATCTTAGCACAGTGTCCTTACGTCGTGTATTCAGGTTTGGATAACAGAAGGTAGCTTTAGGTATAGAGTCTGTACACTTTATAGATAGACAGGTCTCTAGCTAAGTTGATCCATAAGAAATTGGCAATATTTGTCTTTAAGCAAAAGTTGATAACTTCGTATTCAACCTAACACTTAAAAGGAAGTGTTTGATTCTCTGGTCAACAAATTCATGCAAGATCTCCTTGGACCTGCTTTTGCTTTTGGCTTACCCAAACTACTGGAGTTTCATAGCTTTGCTACCCCTAATAAGATAAAGAAACTCACAGGCTCTGACTGTCTCTAAACAAATCTGTCTCACATTGAGAAGGGAAGCTTCAGTGTTTGCAGCCAGAAAGAACCATTTCGTGTTTTCCATATCTACCCTTTGAAATTATAAACTTGAATTCCACCTCAATCAGTCTCTATCTGCTCATGTTGGAAGGAGCTAACTTTTTAACCTATGAAAGATTACAAGCTGCTCTGGATGTAAAGGTAATATAGGGGGTCAGGATTCAATCTGAGTTTGTATCTTTGCTCCACTACACATTAGGTACCCAGTGTGTGAATTTGGATATGTTTTTAAAACTCTCTCAGAATATTAATTTCTTCATTTGTAAAGTGAACATAATATCACCTGCCTTTTTGGAATTTTCATGATGCTTAAATTTATAAAAATAAAATCATGTATTCACCTAGGCACAGAACACAGTAGTCCTCATCGTTTGCTAGTTCTATAAATATTATCAATATTTTAGGTAGAAATAAAGGTAATGGTTTCCATTGAATACAAGAGTCTAGATTCATGCTTGATGATTTATATTTAGGAGTTAATAATTCACATACTTAAAATTTTCAAAGACAAAAGATCAGAGCAAATTTGACAGCTCATGTAACTGCCCACTCATTGATCACATGTTGAATACATGATCCTGCTGTCATAGAAATGGCAGAAGTGCTGAGAGAAGTGGTGGGCAGTGGGAGGAGAGTGTGGCCTTATGTTGCCTTTTGCCCACTTTCTAATGGGCAGCTATTCCAGGGCACCCGGGAGGTTGCTGTGGGAGACAGTGGATATAGCAGAGGGGGAAGCAGGCTGTGGGGTTCAAGACCAGAGAAGAATTCTCCGGGTTCCCTCCACAGGATGGAAGTATGGCCGGTTGGAAGCCTTCTGCAGCCTTCTGCACCCTGCACTTCTCTTGCTTAAAAAGGGAAGGGACAGAAGGGGCCTGGCAGTGCCTCCGATTAGCTGTCCCTCCCATGACGTAGCCTCAGCTGCCAGGGCTGGACCTGCTCTGTCCAGGGTGTCCTGCTATGGCAGGGCCATTCACGGTCCCAGGGTGCTGGAACGGTTCTTCCATCCCAAGGGGACGACTCATTAGAACCCCACAGTGGAGACGGAGAATCCAGCCCTTCGTGCTTCAGAAAAAAAAAACAGAGAAACAGTCTTGCAAATGTCCCAGCCGCAGGCGGCTCAGCTAGGCTGACCATGCAGGCCCCATGCAGACTGACTGTGACCCCAGTCAGAGCCCTCCCCAGGCTGTGGAACTGAGCCACTGGCCACAAAGTGCTCGCTCATTAAAAAAAGAAAAACGCTTTGAAAACAACAANTGACAAAAACCACTGCAATGATGTAAAGTAATTAGCCTCCAACTAATAAAAATAAATGGAAAAAAAGAAAAAAAAAAATGGAAGGCTTTCCAAACAGATTACTCAACACCTGGGTTATAGTCTGGATCATATAAGGACGTGTACAGGCAACTAACTCCCTGGTGTAACCTCTGCTTCTCCCACGCAGCCGCATTTTGGTATCATCTGTGGCCATCATTTGTGATCATTTGCAGTGTGACCCAGGGGTGCATAATGAACATTTATATAATTGTAAAAACTCACACACACACACACACACACACACACACACATATTAGCTTCCCTGGTGGGTCAGATGGTAAAGCATCTGCCTGCCAATGCAGTAGACGTGGGTTTGATCCCTGGATTGGAAAGATCTCCTGGAGAAGGAAATGGCTACCCACTCCAGCGTTCTTGACTGGAAATCCCATGGACAGAGGGGTCTGGCAGGCTCCAGTCCATGGGGTCGCAAAGAGTAGACACTTCTGAGCCACTAACACTTCCACGCATAATAACTGAAAAATACAATGAGGGTTCCTGTGCAGATTGTTTTGACTACATGTTCACATATGACCTTGGGGCTGAGTAGTACGTTTCTGTGAATTTTCCTGCTTTTTCTAATCTCTCTCCATAAGCCCACACCATCAGCCGAGCAACCCAGCACCACCACCAGATGAGTGAATGGAAGTGAATTAAAGTGTTCCCCTTTTCTTCCATTCATGACCCAGGCTGCCTGCTTATAACTTCTTTCCTTTAAGGCTGCCTTTGCTTTTCATTTAAGTGTGATGGTAGAAAAATGCTGGGTGTGTTAGTCATGTGGCATGGTGAGAGTGTATGGTGTTTGTCCCTAGCGTGTCAGTCAGAAAGGCCTTGGTGTGAGGGGCCCAGAGGGTCATCGAAGGCTTCCCAGGGCGCCTGCTGAGAACAGAGCCTCTGGGTCTTGCTCCCCCATCAGGAGCGAGCTGGTCGAACCCGCAGTGGGCCTGGAGCACCCTGCAGCCGCCCTAAACTGAGAAGCACCATGGCCAGGGCCCTGTCCCCCTGGGAGACGCCAGAGGAAAAGCATTGCCCAGGATGTAGGAGGCAGTGACCATCTCTGCAGACGAGAGGACAACATCAGGACCTGGCCCAGCTTCCAGGGAGTGAGCCTGGGCCCCAGGTTCCTCCGAGGCGTCTGCAGTGTTACTGAAGAAACACAGCCCCGACCGAGTACCCCTGGGCAGGTGCCTGGAGAGCTTTATCTCCGAGGTGCAGACCTAGAAACAGAATGCAATGGCAGCTCTCTTAAAGAAAGACTGAATGTATGAGTGGATCTGGGGAAATAGGCTACCAGGAAGTGGTCTGCAGGCTCTGATTTCAAAACTCTTAAACAGTCCCCTGCATCTAAGAGCTAAAGAAGCCTTTACAAAGTGATTTTGAGGACTCTAAAAGCCCTCTCTTATTTGCAAAATATATATGTATTTAAAATATTAATAACATTAAGATTAAATAAATTAATGATGTTAAAATATTATTTAAATAATAATATACCATAATAATACTTAAAAAAATAAATGTTCCATTGTGGCAACTCTGTTAGAAATTTGTATGTGAGTGACAGGAGGACACTAATTTAAAAAAAACAAAAACCACCAAGAAACCATACATATCTGGGAGAAAGAGTACCTCTTAGGTCTGCCCACTGATGGATTAGCCTGGATCATCTATCAGACCAGCTGATGCCTCACCCTGGAGGGTCCTGGGGAAACGGGACAAGGGCCAGAGGGTTCAGACAGAAAGGGAACGCCAAGGACAGCAGGAAGCGGGAAGGCCAGACTATGGAGGAAAGAGAAGGTGGCAACAGGAAGCAAGAGCAGGAAGCCGTGGCAGAAACCTGACGGGGTGCACTAGGGCCTCAGGGTGTCCTCTCCTTCCTGGAGGTCTCTTTATCCTTCCCAGTCGGGTACCAGCTTCTCAAGTTCAAACCTTCCAGGGGCCCAGCATCCTTTCTGGGTCGGTCTGGTGTTAACTCCCACCTGTCTCGGTCACTCCAGCCGTCTTGGTCTGCACATCCCTCTCTGCTTCCAGAGGGGCATTTCCTCTGCTTTAAAGCCCTTGTTCCCCCTCCCCTCCACCTACCCCCATACCTACTCCTCTTAAAAAGCTTTTAGTACTAGAGCCAGCAAGATTCTTGCTATCAGCAAACTTTCCCATCCTCACTTCACCCCAACAAAACAGTTCCTTTTATCTGAATTCCAAAGTCCAGGGTCATAGAGTCAACCTGTTCCATATAAGCCGTGTTTTTGTTTGTTTTAGGGTTTCTTGTTTTGCTTTTTTTTTTTTTTCTGGCCACACCATGCAGCATATGAGATCTTAGTCCTCCAACCAGGGATGGAAGCAGTGCCTCCTGTAACAGAAGTGGGTAGTCTTAACCAGGGGACCACCAG